TTATACTTTTGAGCACAGAATGTTCTAAGGTTCTTTCACTCATTACTTAAGTATTATCAAATGTTACATCGTTTAATTGATTAATATTTTAAAGTTTTACTTAATTTAAGCACTTAATGCTGATGTAGTAATCCTTCGGGTCGCAGAACACTTGGACTGCTTCCACGTTTAAGTTGTAATTCTTCAGTTATTAAGGGCTACTGCCATAATTTTACTTTATTCAATTTATTCATTATTAAATGGACCAGACTTAACTATAAGTTAAGCAATCTCAGAAGACCCGTGTGGGGGCAGAGATTAAGTAACCTCTTCCAATCTGGGAGTTTAAGTAAATAACCTCTGTGTCTGAAGTCCTTTGTGTATCTTTCATTTATTATTATTATTATTATTATTTTTTTATTTAAATAAGTACTTAATGCTGGAGTAGTGATTCTTCTAGTTGTAGAACATCTGGGCTGCTTCTACGCATAAGTTGTAAATCTTCGGTTATTAAGAACTACAGTCAAATTTAACCTTATTCTTCACTTTTACATTTTGTTTATTTTTCTTTTTATGATAAGACTTAACTATAAGTTAAGCAATCTCAGAAGGCCCGTGTGGGGGCAGAGATTAAGTAACCTCTTCCAATCTGGGAGTTTAATTAAATAACCTCTGTCTAAAGTCCTTTATATGTTGTATTTTTATTATTTTTTTTTTTATATTTTTATTTAGTTCTATGAATTATACTTAATTATAAAATTTCATGGTTTAATAACTTTCTTTTGGGTAGTTTGGTCTTAACCAAAAGTTAAGCAGATATCGCCTTCCAATTTGGAGAGGGTTATAAGATTATAAAGATTATAAGTTTACTGTTTTTATAATATATGAAGTAGTATAGGTACGGTGATGCACAATATTTAAGTTAACTATTATATTATATTTTTTTTTATGTAAGGTGGAAATTAATGTTTTGCGCAAGCGTCATGCCTGGTACCAAGCTAACGACGAACCGTTCCATACTTTGATACATTTATTAATTTTTTTGGGTTATGCATATACATACACTGTGTAAGTTTTTTTCCTTTTAATTTCCTCCAACTTTTTTTTTTTTATTATCTAAGCCATCAGGTAATTAGTTTGTATATTTACTAAATATTTTTTTTTTCTCTTTATAAAGGAACATAAGTTGAGGTTTGTCTTTTATTTCTTTCCTCATTTACTGGGTTTTTGGGGAAATAGGATCATAGTTTGGCCACTATATAGACCCAGTTGGCGCCTATTTATTTGTCTACTATTTCCGGAATTTTTGTAAGCTATCCACCCCCTAGCTGCCGTCTGAGCGACGTCGAAGGCCCGAAGGTTGACACCGGAACAACCGAAACTTGTGTAACCGTAGTAGACAACATTTTTAATTGTAGTTAATACTTTAATAATTTTTTTTTAAGTTTAAAAATTTTGGTGGAATCACCAAGTTCATTTTGTAGGTTACACTACTAGATGAGATTTTTTTAGAATTATAAATATTTTATAATTTATAAACTTTAAATACCTTCTATTGTAAACATTTTCAAATTTGAGGATATCTTTACATTTTTAAATACATTTAATTTATTTAGATAGTCTACCATACCTCTTTTTATTTTGGTTGATTTGATATGAAATGACCCTTTAGTGACAAGTTAGCGAATTAATTGCAGACAGCAATATGAATTATTGCAATTTTACTTGCAACAAGGAACATTTGCAACTGTAAAATGCTTCTTAGGCATAAAACCATGATGAATGTCATTAATTGATGAGTTGTCCGTTATATACCAGTTCTTATGCACTCTGGTACGCATTCTGTCTTACCAAATAGCCCAATGATTATAATTTTTTAAAGTCAAATCCTCTTTTGAGACGGGTCACCGCTAAAAACGAACAGCATCTAGAATCGACCATAATTTATGTCAGTATGGCATTCGGTGATATCGGCGGTTCTTTTGATTTTTGGCCAAATTTTTGCCGGGATTAAAATAAAAAGTTACAAAACGTCGGAGAAGAAGATGAGTGTCGCGTTCGCCTTTTTATTTTATCGAGAGACATATTTTTGGGTATGAAAACATTTTCGATAGCCGTATAATAGGTGTATAACGGGTTTGCTTCGAGATTTCAAAATGAGTTTGTTATTTTAGACGATAAAAATTTAAAAGGAATTTTAAGTAAAGTAAAAAATCACTGATAAATGCGCTATGAATTTTGCAAATAAAATTGACCATTGGTATCCAAGGTATTTTGAATTCTTTTCGCTAATTAGTCGTACAACGTATGTGTATAGAAAATAATTAACTTTCCACATGTTTATGAATAAGAATTTATTTTCCTCTCATGTATAAAAAATAATCTACTTTCTGCAAGCCCTCAAATATGTCGGATAATCAGATTTATCTTTTTTTTTTTTTGTTATTTATGTAATGCCTTAATTTATTTCCTTGATACATTTTTTCATTAGTTTAATAATTGCAGTGGCGGCTGGCGCATACATGTTCTAGAGCTGTAGAACTGTCAAAAAATGCCAGTATCTCAGCTACATTTAACAGAAATTGTTTTACACATTTTACGTAAAACAGGTTTTAATAATAATCTCAATAATTTTAATTTGATTTTATTTATTTAATAGTAAATAGTGTCTCCTTTAAATGTTCTAATAGTCCTGATAGATTAATTAACAAGTTTGTGAACAGCAAAACTTTCTTGTCAACAGTATTTTGTTCAAAAATAAAAAAAGGTATATTGAACAATTCTACTTTAAAATTTTTCAATAAAAAAAGCAGAGGTCCCAAATACAGAATTACAGAATATATCATTCACTGTCAGAAGTATCCTTATTAACGTTAGACATGACTTCATTATCATCATCTTCAGATAAATCGTTATTACCATCAACGAAACTTTTTTTTTAAATCAGAGCCATGGTAATTACCTGTCTTTTCCATCTAAGTCTTTAATATTATACACTAGTTTAGAGAGAACATTATGTACTATACACGGAGTGTATTTGGAGCATTAAAATTATTAATTTTAGATGATAAGACGAAATTCTTTTTCCATAATCTATCACCAACATGATATTCAATATCTCTTTTTCTTAAGTTATAATATTTACAATTTCTATCATAGACTGATTTAAGTTTTCTCCTAACATCAATAAACAATTTAGGTAAATTTTATGTGTCATCGATACGTTGTAATTTTTCAGATACTGACAAAATACTATTAAAATTATTTGAAATTATACCATAAAAATCTTCAGAAAATGGAACGTTACTAGTAAAATTAAGGAAGGATGGTGAATACTTCATGTTTGGTTGTATTTATGGATTGAACTACTCTAGGCAAAAATATGTCTCAAGAACGATGATTATCATGTATATAACAGCGAAGTGCTAAGACGATTGTCTTATTGGTTCTTTCAGTAAATTATTTTCTAAACTTTATATTTGTCCATCAAAGCTATAAATTCCTTAGAAACAAAAACATTTCCATTGACTGTAGAAACAATTTGACAAACTCCAAATACGTTAAAGATATGTGTTTCTATAAATTTAGTTATACTAGCTGCAGTAGCTTTAGACATAGGATAAGCAAAACAAAATTTAGTAAACCATTCTGTTATTATAAGAGCATATTATTTGTTTCCATTCTTTGTTATGGGATATGGTCCAATAATGTCCATATTTAAAATTAAAAAATGCAACTCTTCATCGAAACGATAACGTGACTGTGCGATTTAATTTGTTGTTTAATGAAAATACTAGTGAAGAAATTTTTTCGTGGCATCGTGGCGCGTAGGAAGCATATTGTTATAACGTAAAAAAAACGTAACAACAAACAAACTTTTGAAAATTTATTTAGGTTATTTTGTTTATTATAGTTTGAATATTCGGTAAAAAATTTAAAATTATAGCATTTTAAATTTTAAGGTATATTATTTAATTCAAGAAAATTAGAATTTTCGTCAATTTTGGATTTTAAAAAATTCATAACAATTAAAGGGTTAAAGATACGATAATGGACGTAAGGACTTTTTTTATTCGAAATATCCTAAAGAATATAAACAAAATTAATTCATTGCAAAAAATGCATTTTTTGGCCTTAATTAATTTTTCGTTGTTTAAACAATAAGATCAACAAATATCGAGTGTCATGTTACACTTTTATAATCAGGCAAGCTTTCCGGACATTTTAAAAAAAAATTACGAATTAAAACAAATTTGCAAACGAATGCGCCACTATGCCCTGCACTATATACTGTTGAGATCAGACATATAATTTAACTACTGCAGTTTTCCATAAGTGTGGAAATTCATTTGTTGAGGTACTTAAATTGAAAATATGAAGTAACCACTTGCTACAAATCTTCAGAACATAATTTATTTAATTATTTTATTTTATTCAAGGGTTTGAATTGCTTAATCTAAATCCGTTATTAATTATAAATTTAAAGCGTTATTTGTAAAATTTTCTGAACCACAAGTTACATTATAAGAAGATTTATTCAAATAACACAAGTGATTAAAAATATTAATACCAACTCTTACCATATTATATCGAGGGCCTTTGTTAATAAAACTTATTTTTAATAAAAAATTAACGTACCATTCAGATTCTTTTATTAATAAAAGTAAAGTGATGAATATTAGACAGTTATTATGAATATTATTATTATAGATTTTGTTTTTAAGAAGTTTTTATTAAATTGCTATAGAAAATACATACTATAATACATAATAGGCAATAAAATCACTTCAATTTAAATTATTACTGTTATTAAAAGTGTTATTTTTGACTAAGAGGCTGGTATGTTTATGGTTAATGCCATTTAAAGAAGGGCTTTACAAATATCATTTATAAAAAGATGACAGGTATCATTCAAAAGCACTTTTTGAATGGTTTTATGCCTCTTCCGAAAAATGGTACACCTCATCTTATATTTTTTGTACTCATTGCCAACTGAGTAATGTTTTTCTTTTCTTTTTCAGGTCCAACACAGGATCTAGAATTCCCAATGGGGATAATATTTCGATCGAGGGATACGATCGAGAAAAGCCTCAACTGCGAACTCACCAGGTATTTATTTTATGTCATATATCTCTATAATAACCCAAATTTAAAAACTATTTAACAATTGTGAATTTAAAATAAAATTCCGATTTCAAGTACCGTCAATGTATCACAACCAATCAAGTTATCGATATGTGGTCCTCACCTAATTATTTATGAGCTTTTTATAATCAGGATGTTTCCGAACTTGGCGTCCAAATTTGTAGGGGTGGTAGTTCGCATAATTTGAGAGCGATTGGCAGATTTCATTTTTCTAAAAAAATTATAATAAACAAAATAGAGCCATTATAAAAAAAATCAAAGAACAGGTCCTATCCTGAGCACGTAGCGAAATAGTTCTCAAAAACAGATTCGATTTGCAATTTTGTCGATTCTAAGCGTAGCGCGCGTGAGTCGAGGCGATCCTATCGCTTTGCAGGACCGTACCTGTTTATAATTTGTAATTATTTTTATTTTAAATATTTTGGAAAAATGAAATCTGCGAATCGGTCTCAAATTATGCGAACTACTACCCCTACAAATTTGGACGCCAAGTTCGGAAACACCCTGTATTTATTCCGAATTTAATCAACGTTTGATTTCAAAATTATACAAGGTATTCAAATGTCACGTCAGTATTGAATGATTGAATTTTTTTGTATATTTTATGACTAAAATATATTAACATGTGCTCTAAATTGTTTCTTTAAGATACAGAGTCTTACACTTTTTTTAATTTGATTTTTATTAATATTACAAACATTATTTTTTAATCAAACTTACAGGTTTGTATGTAGTAACTAACCTGATTTGACTAAATCTACCAAAGTAACACAGATTTCTTTTAATGAATATATAAACAACTAATGTATTTTAAAATTATATTGTAAACTCTTATAACAGCTTCTGTATAACCAAAAAGCCCCAAAATTATAAAACAAATTTTTGTTTTGAACCTTATAATGGGATTGCATAAAGTAGTAATAAAACATTTTTATTATTGGTATGTAACTGTTGTAAGTATTTTATAAAATAGTTATATATCAGTTTTATAAAGATTTTATTAAGTAAATCGTTTTTTTTTGTAATAAGACATTCTTAAATATGTTTTGGTCAAATCAGGTGAATAACGAAAATATACGCTTGTGTCCTTTAGACAACGTTGCCACGTATGTTTTTTCATTATATACGACACCTATACGATATTTCGAAAAATGCAGCGTTTTGCTAGTTCAAATCGTGATATCGTCTTTTTGGTGTTGTCGCTACATTTGTTTTTGTAATAAATATTATATCTAATTTTACGTTAAATAACATTTTTAATCGAATTAGTTATAACAAAAATATATGCATTCGATTGCAGTTAAATGTTATGGAGGTACACCGTTGGTAATGATATGAAGTATTTAATTCCCTCCCATTTTGTGCTTAACTTTTTTAATCTTTCAACTTATTAAGTAGATATTTAATATTTAAACCATGTGTTTTCTTCACCCAGGTGCACCCGGTCCTGGATTCCCGCCAAACGATCATCTGCTACGACAAGCCGCCTCCACCAACGGTAGCCGAGCGCCCTCCATCGCCAGTGCCGGCTACCGCTTGCTACCCGCTAACGCCGAACATTTGCGTAGAGGCGGGCCGAATTCAGTTCATCCGCCAGGAGGCAGAGGGCGCTCCAGTGCCGCCGCCTCCCGACCCCGTACAGGCGGCGGCGGCGACTCAAATCGGCGGCGGCAGGGTCACTGTTACTAGGGGTTTGCAAACCGAATTGGAGGACGACGAGATCGAGGGGTTTCAGGAAGTTCAGGTAGGTGGCGCTAGATGAGGAAATTTGTTCGCCAATCTGTAATATTTTGAATTAACAAGCTAATTTATTGCCATTTAAATTTCATTGCTTTTTCTTCAATTGTTAAAAACTGCGATGTTACTAGCGTATGTGGATGCTAGCAGAGTTATTTTTTACTATATTATGACGTTTAGCCACTTTATTACTAATATATACTTTTATTTTCATTTTATTGCTATATTCCTTCTTTGAATAATTGGTTACTTTCTTAGGGCATAAGTAAAAGCTAGCATAAGTTTTAGCTCATTTATTGCTAATTTATTACTAATTTATTGCCTCTATTTTAATTTTATTGCTATTTCCCTTCATTGAAAAATTTGTGGCTTTGTTAGGATGTAACTGTAAGCTAGCAAAGCCATAACCGAATATTTTATTTTTATACTCTTTAATTTTTAACTAATTTATTGCTAATTTATTAACTTTATTTTCATTTTATTGCTATATTCATTCTTTGAAAAATGAGTTACTTTCTAAGGGCATAAGTGAAAGTTAGCATAATTGCTACCGAATAATTGATTTTTACTATCTTTTAAGTTTTAGCTAATTTATTGCTAATTTGTTACAAATTTATTGCCTCTATTTTAATTTTATTGCTCCATTTCTTAATTGAGCCGAACGGACCCAATATTTTATTGTTTACTATTAATTTTTAACTTATTTATTGCTTATTTTTTATCCATGTTTTAATTTTATTATTAATGTAAATTTTTTTTTGTTATTGCTAATTTATTTCCCATAAAGCTGTGAAATTCATAAACAGTTATGGCATAGTAAAAAATTAATATATTGTGATTCTCTTAGCTTCAACTTACGCTCAAATAAAGCGGCAGTTTTTTAAGGGTTGTAGCAATTATATTAAATTAGGGGTAGTAAATTAGTAATAAATTAGCTAAAAATTATAGCATAATAGAAAATCAAGTATTTAGTTTGTGGTTTTGCTAGTTTTCACTTCACGGCCTGCAATGTCACAGTTTTTTCAGAGAAAGAAGATGAGCAATAAAATTAAAATGGGGTAATAAATTAGCAAAAAGATATCTTAACATATTTTGATCCGCTTGCTTTTATTTATGCTAGCAAAATAACAATTTTTTCATTGATGGAGTAATAAAATAAAAATAAATTAACAGTAAATTAGCGATAAAATAGTAAAAAATAGCAATAAATTAGCAATAAAGGAGCGATAAATTAACAGTATATCAACTATACATTAACGATAAATTAGCTATACATTAGTAATACATTAGAAATAAATTAGCAATAAATTAATTATAAATTAAAAATAAATTATTAAAATAGGAATATATTAGGAATTAATTGGGAATAAATTATCTATAAGTTGGGAATGAATTGGCTATAAATTATCAATAAATTAGCGATAAATTAGCAATAAATTAGTAATAAATTAGCAATAAATAAGCTATAAACTGACAATACATTTATAATCAATTGACAATAAATTTGCAATAAATTAAATTACCATTAAATTGGCTGTAAAATTATTGTCGTATAATTAAAATTAGTAAGAGACAAAAAATCGGTTGTGGCTTTGCTAGCTTCCACATACACATAAACATAGTCACATTTTTTTTAATGAAGGGATGGAGCAATAAAATAAAAATATATTAACAATAAATTAGCGATACATTAGCTAAAAATTAGCAATCAATTAGCAATAAATTAACTATAAACTAGCTATAAAGGCGCAATAAATTAACAATATATTAGCAATAAATCAGCAATAAATTAGTAATAAATTAGTAATAATTCAGTAATAAATTAGTAATAAATTAGTAATAAATTAGTAATAAGTTAGTAATAAATTAGTAATAAATTAGTAATAAATTAGTAATAAATTAGTAATAAATTAGTAATAAATTAGTAATAAATTAGTAATAAATTAGTAATAAATTAGTAATAAATTAGTAATAAATTAGTAATAAATTAGTAATAAATTAGTAATAAATTAGTAATAAATTAGTAATAAATTAGTAATAAATTAATTAAATTAATTAGTAATAAATTAGAAATAAATTAGCTATAAATTCGTTATATATTGAAAATAAATTGACAATAAATTGACAATAAATTGACAATAAATTGACAATAAATTGACAATAAATTGGCAATAAATTGACAATAAATTGACAATAAATTGACAATAAATTGACAATAAATTAAATTAGCAATAAATTAGCTGCATAAATTATCGTATAATTAAAATTAGTAAGACACAAAAAAGTCGGCTGTGGCTTTCCTAGCTTCCACACAGACATAAACAGAGTCACAGTTTTTTTAATGAAGGGTTGGAGCAATAAAATAAAAATATATTAACAATAAATTAGCTAAAAATTAGGACTCAATTAGTAATAAATTAATAATAAACCAGCTATAAAGTATCAATAAATTAACCGTATATTACCAATAAATTAGTAATTAATAAATTAGTAATAAATTAGTAATAAATTAGTAATAAATTAGTAATAAATTAGTAATAAATTAGTAATAAATTAGTAATAAATTAGTAATAAATTAGTAATAAATTAGTAATAAATTAGTAATAAATTAGTAATAAATTAGTAATAAATTAGTAATAAATTAGTAATAAATTAGTAATAAATTAGTAATAAATTAGTAATAAATTAGTAATAAATTAGTAATAAATTAGTAATAAATTAGTAATAAATTAGTAATAAATTAGTAATAAATTAGTAATAAATTAGTAATAAATTAGTAATAAATTAGCAATAAATTAGTAATAAATTAGTAATAAATTAAATTAGTAATAAATTAGTAATAAATTAGTAATAAATTAGTAATAAATTAGTAATAAATTAGTAATAAATTAGTAATAAATTAGTAATAAATTAATTAGTAATAAATTGGGAATACATTAGCTATAAATTAGCAATAAATTAGTAATAAATTAGCAATAAATTAGTAATAAGTTAGAAATAAATTAGCTATAAATTTGTTATACATTGAAAATAAATTGACAATAAGTTGACAATAAATTGACAATAAATTGACAATAAATTGACAATAAATTAAATTAGCTGCATAAATTATCGTATAATTAAAATTAGTAAGACACAAAAAAGTCGGCTGTGGCTTTCCTAGCTTCCACATAGACATAAACAGAGTCACAGTTTTTTAATGAAGGGTTGGAGCAATAAAATAAAAATATATTAACAATAAATTAGCTAAAAATTAGGACTCAATTAGTAATAAATTAATAATAAACCAGCTATAAAGTATCAATAAATTAACCGTATATTACCAATAAATTAGTAATTAATTAGTAATAAATTAGTAATAAATTAGTAATAAATTAGTAATAAATTAGTAATAAATTAGTAATAAAATTAGTAATAAATTAGTAATAAATTAGTAATAAATTAGTAATAAATTAGTAATAAATTAGTAATAAATTAGTAATAAATTAGTAATAAATTAGCAATAAATTAGTAATAAATTAGTAATAAATTAGTAATAAAATTAAATTAGTAATAAATTAGTAATAAATTAGTAATAAATTAAATTAGTAATAAATTAGTAATAAATTAATTAGTAATAAATTGGGAATACATTAGCTATAAATTAGCAATAAATTAGTAATAAATTAGCAATAAATTAGTAATAAGTTAGAAATAAATTAGCTATAAATTTGTTATACATTGAAAATAAATTGACAATAAGTTGACAATAAATTGACAATAAATTGACAATAAATTGACAATAAATTAAATTAGCTGCATAAATTATCGTATAATTAAAATTAGTAAGACACAAAAAAGTCGGCTGTGGCTTTCCTAGCTTCCACATAGACATAAACAGAGTCACAGTTTTTTAATGAAGGGTTGGAGCAATAAAATAAAAATATATTAACAATAAATTAGCTAAAAATTAGGACTCAATTAGTAATAAATTAATAATAAACCAGCTATAAAGTATCAATAAATTAACCGTATATTACCAATAAATTAGTAATTAATTAGTAATAAATTAGTAATAAATTAGTAATAAATTAGTAATAAATTAGTAATAAAATTAGTAATAAATTAGTAATAAATTAGTAATAAATTAGTAATAAATTAGTAATAAATTAGTAATAAATTAGCAATAAATTAGTAATAAATTAGTAATAAATTAGTAATAAATTAGTAATAAATTAAATTAGTAATAAATTAGTAATAAATTAGTAATAAATTAAATTAGTAATAAATTAATTAGTAATAAATTGGGAATACATTAGCTATAAATTAGCAATAAATTAGTAATAAATTAGCAATAAATTAGTAATAAGTTAGAAATAAATTAGCTATAAATTTGTTATACATTGAAAATAAATTGACAATAAGTTGACCAATAAATTGACAATAAATTGACAATAAATTGACAATAAATTAAATTAGCTGCATAAATTATCGTATAATTAAAATTAGTAAGACACAAAAAAGTCGGCTGTGGCTTTCCTAGCTTCCACATAGACATAAACAGAGTCACAGTTTTTTAATGAAGGGTTGGAGCAATAAAATAAAAATATATTAACAATAAATTAGCTAAAAATTAGGACTCAATTAGTAATAAATTAATAATAAACCAGCTATAAAGTATCAATAAATTAACCGTATATTACCAATAAATTAGTAATTAATAAATTAGTAATAAATTAGTAATAAATTAGTAATAAATTAGTAATAAATTAGTAATAAATTAGTAATAAATTAGTAATAAATTAGTAATAAATTAGTAATAAATTAGTAATAAATTAGTAATAAATTAGTAGTAAATTAGTAATAAATTAGTAATAAATTAAATTAGTAATAAATTAGTAATAAAATTAGTAATAAAATTAAATTAGTAATAAATTAGTAATAAATTAATTAGTAATAAATTGGGAATACATTAGCTATAAATTAGCAATAAATTAGTAATAAATTAGCAATAAATTAGTAATAAGT